TTGAAAAATTTGGATTTAGGCCAATTTTTTCTTTAAAAAAACTAACTTTTTTGGGAAAATAATTATAAAATCCAAAATTTTGAGTGTATCGAAAAAAAACGGTACATATGTCAGAGACGTGGTCTATCTGCACCTACATACCAATTTTTAGAAGGATCGGTTCAAAAATGTGGGAGTTATTCAAAATTTTATGACGTCACGACACACAAAATTTTTGAAAAATGATTTTTTGAAGTTATAGACCTCGTACGGAAACAGAAATAGCACCATTCGATTTGCCGTGAAAAACTGCATCAGATAGACACCTTTTTAGACCTTAACAACAAACTTCAAAATTTGACCTCACTTGACCTGACCTTGACCTGACCTCGACCTTAAATCCATCCAGAGGTGGTTCATATCACTTATTGAGTGTGCCTATTGAATTCTATGAGTAAAATGACCCATCAAACATGTGTCGCACATGCCCTTTTCTATATTTTGTTTTTGGTGACCTGACCTGACCTTGACCTTGACCTTTGAATGACATTGTATGCAACGAATATTGTCTTGGTAGTCTAAGAACACGTTTTGGGCAATCAGTCTCAGTCCATTCTTCGGCAACTACGGTGCAAGGCCGATACTGTAGAAACTTGCATTTTGTACCCTTGACCTGACCTTGACCTGACCTCTGACCTACTTAAGCAAAAAATTTGGGCTCTTTAGATCCGCCTTGTTTAGAGCTTTCGATTGCCGTTTTCCCCGTCTTTCTACGACCATCGGTTCGGAAGTTAGACAGGGGGGGGCAGAATCTGCCCCCTGTATGGCTGTATGTATGGTATGTATGGCTGTATGGCGTATGGCTGAATAGCCCAGCGGGTCGCGGGTTAAGTCTCCCGTGGAGCTTGACCTTAGCTTTATTCGTCCTAGATTTATGCGTCGATTTGTCGAAATAGGCGAAGCTTGTCCTTTGTTTGCCTCTTGCGAGCTGACCCTTGGCATAAAAATTCATAGTTCAATCTTCTCATGGCTTTGGACGTCATTTCTAAGTCTGCCTACCGTTTGGGCCTTAGCGTCAAACGGGTCTGTGAAGCGAGGTAATACGTGGCCCATGAGCCGAGTTAAAACGGTAGTGTTCAGCCTCTTCGCAACAGGCAGGGCGTCGAAAATCGAAATCCATAAGACCAGTGGCGCACGGGTTGAATGATATCTGCAAGAGGTACTGATCATTTTCGATGCATCGGAATCAGGAATGCGAGGCTAAATGTACGTTCAGAAGTAGCATTGTAATATGTAAGTACATCTAAAAACAATAAAATAAATAAATAAATGAGAATTGCAAGGACATTGCTTGCGTGTCCAACAAAGCGACTGACGATCACGCGGAGAGCTGTCGGTGGGAGTGGCTTTACTCCTCAGTGGTTCGTGTCTTGATCTATTAGTGAATACCTCGCTTCCTCGTTACTCTTGGTGATTGCGCTTTGTGGTTAGTGAGCCGGCAGCTGTAAAACTGTTTAGCCTTGCGCTGCGCATAATATTTCTTTTTTATTGTTTGCTCCCTTCCGTTTAACAAAGTCATCCATCCAGTTCTTCGTTTCTATTTTGGCAAACTCCGTGAAGGGTGGGTTCGATGATAAATATAGCTGAAGACCATCAGCCTGGACCTGCGTTTGGGCTCTCAGTCACGCTCAGGCCTCCCACCCTGCCCTGACCCCGGACCCTGCGCGGCAATGTGCACATATTGACCGGTGTGGCGCGCTGCCGACCCACCCGCTGGCTGGGATGGCCGCGGAGACGCGCAGCAGGTGCAGGCCGCGTCGGCAGCGCGCGGTACCGCGAGCGGTACCGGGTCGGGCGGTCAGGGAACGCCGGCTGCCCCTGGGGAGGCCAGGCAGGGCTAAATAGACCCTGGAGGTGTCATCAGTCGATCGGACACCTTAGTTCGGAGTAACAGGTGGTCGTCATGCCCCGAACGAGCTTTCATCCTCGCCCTTCGCTCACAGCAGGTATGTCCGAGTTGACCACAGCTAAAGACGGCCATGATGAATGCTGTGAAGCTGAAAGTCAATTGTATAAATTTGCACCTATGTACCTGTAAAAGATGTCGTCTGCTCAGTTAGTTGAGTTTCCAGAGATAGAGACGCAGAGCGTGTAACTTTAATGTATATTGCAAGCTAATTAAGAAATGATTGGTGGTGCTTTTAATAATTTGTATCAGATATTCAATACTGAGCATGATGTAAACACTTGATACATATAGTAAGCCATTTTATGTTACATCAGCACATACATACCTAAGCAGCCGTAGGTACCTATACTGGTATTTTCATCGTTATCGTAACTTTCAGACTCAAGGTTCTAAGACAGTATGTCATCAGACCTAATAAGATATGTGATCGGGCCTAACCATACCAGTCCCCATGAACCCTACCTCTGTGATTTTCCTGTATGACAGGCCCTTGCATGTTTAGGGGGGTCGAATGAACCCCCCCCCCATGTTTTTTCGCGAATAACTCGCGCAAAAAGCGGCTGATCGCGACAAAACTTTCAGTACGTACCCTCGAGTTGATCAATTTTACACCTATTCTGAGATGTGTGAATATGTCATGCAAGACAGAGGAAATTTGTGAAAAAGTGCCCGCGCTATATTCGAACGAAACCGAAAAAACGTACTTGACTCGATAGGTAAAATGTGTCATATCACCCTTGAAAAAGTGAATAACACGAAACGTTGGGTGGTTTTGGTGTTTTTATCTTACATCATATACGAATTAATTTTCGAGATCACTTAACCCGCGCCCCACGGGGGGGGGGGGGCTATTCATAGCCCCCCTCCCGTTTTTCTGCAATAACTTCCAAACCGCTTGATGTATTGACGCCAAACTTTCAGTACCTTCGGCTGCATTAATTTGACACCTTGTGTCAAAATATGAACTTCGTAGCTACCATAGGTCAGCTGGAAATGACGTCAGAGTGACGTCATGTTCGGCCGATTTCGACGCAAAACATTGAACCACTGCAATCGCTCCCAAGAGCTCAGTTTTTAAGCTAGACCCAATTGTTTGGCATGAGAGGGCTCAGAAGAGACTGCGCTATCAAACTATTGTCTCGAATTTTCAATTTTTTTGAAAATTTTGAAAAAAATATAATAAAATTCAAAATTTATATTTTAATATTTTTTTCAAAAAGTTTTTGACTTTTCGAAAACAACCAGAATACATGTGATAGAACGCATGCTTATGACTTACTCTAGCAAGTTTTAGCTAAATATCTTCAAAAATGGCAAAGTTATACGCATTATTGCAAAAAAATCAAAATTATTAATTTTTCAAATCAATTTTTAGCACGTATTTGACATCGGACACCAATATAAATAGCACAGTCGTGTTCCTGAGCTCAAACTGCATCCAATAGACACCTTTTTTTGTTGGAAAAATTTAGTTTCAAAATTTGACCTTTTTTGCCTGAAAGTGAACTGACCTAAGCTAAATTCGACTCAAAATGACCTCGGATGACACAAACGAATTCGATATAATGGCCTAAATGGACGGTAAAACATGTGTCACGTGACCGACGCATGATATAATATTTCCGTGACCTGTGATGACCTGACCCTGACATGAAAATCAAAGTACAAGTTTGGTACCCTCAGGGTATCTAAAGCATCTGTTCACGAGTGTGTAAACCAAAAATGAGCCTGATCTGACTTGTAAGACGGCGGCCACACCCCAAAATGTGAACAAGCCAAAATGCTAATAATTTTTCTTTGAGCTGACCTGTGACGTCATCGGTGAACTCGAGGTCAATGAAATTAGGTTTCGTTCGACAGTTTTTTTTCCGGGACTATCAGACGCCGTTTGAATTTTGACGATCGGCCCAGTAGTTTCGGAGTTAGGAGGGGGCTATGAAGAGCCCCCCCCTCCCCCCAGTAAGGTGCGTTATACGCAGACCCCAGAGAGGCGCGCGTTAATTTGAAAGTTTTCTTAAATGTTTTTTTTTTCCCGTGTGAGCATTTCTAATTATCCACAGATGCTAGCGAATATGTAGATTTATGCAGAGACGACAGTAGACACGCTTGATTAAAATGCCGAGAGCAAGCAGGCGCCAGGCGCCAGCCAATATAGAGCAAAAAAGTAAATACAAAAACAACTATCTTGAACTATCATAGGGAAAAGACACTATCAACTTTAAAATATTTACGATTCACGGCAAAGCTAAAAATATGATCAAGTTCAAAGAGTGAGATCATTTATTTGCATATTCGTAACTAGCCTGATGTTATACCTATGTTTCTTCGTCTGTCAAAAGAAATCGTTTGAATAATGTACAGACAGCCTCGTGTGATAGTAATTCAAGAACTCGATAAAAGTGCCACTATGATATATAAGGTTGACTTCAACTGCGTCGTTTTAGATTACGACAAGTTTTATCTATGTTAATTCAATTCAATTTATATGCGCTTAGTTATATTTGCTAGCTGATAATTTTCATATTTTGTCATCTCTTTCATTGAGCCTTTTGTATGGCCTAAATAAATACACTGACTAGTTTTCATTCGAGAAAAAAATAACATACTTATACAGATGTCCCGTAGCTCAGTTGGTAGAGCATTGGACTCCCGGTAGTGAGAGCCCGGGTTCGAGACGCTCCGGCGCTCGATATTTGAGACTCCTGACGGGGATGGTCTGCGGTTGGTGGGAGCAGCCGCAGCCAGTTGAAGTCAGTTGAGTGGGACAGGCCGTGTCCGGCTTTGAAGGGCACGTTAAACTTTGGCATCTAAATTCTCCCGTTACCCGGAATTGCGCGATCGGACGGTAGGGGTCGGGGTCTACGCAACAAGCTCTGCTTAGCGTGGGCTCCGGCTCTGTCAATCCGTCCATTCAAACATTCGAGCTAAATTTATATAAAAAAAGATGCTTCAAAACGACTCTTAAGTGCCCTGCTTCATAACACGGGGTCGGCACGCGATAAATTCGATAACCATCAGAAGCTTATGGTGGTTATTATTGCGGTTTTTGCAGAGGTGGTAACGGGCTACGACATGGACAACATGACCAACAGCACGGCGGCGCCTCTACCGGAGGATCGGGCCGACATGAGCTGGGACGACGCCACCTGGATCATGACGGCCTCCTTCATCATCTTCACCATGCAGTCAGGTGGGCGACGGATCTGAGTCCTGAATACCCACATTTTACATACGTGTATGCAGTTGCAGTGTACGTGCTTAGATTACGTGTGCCACATTGTGTTGTTCAAGCACTGATACTTATGCATACGTGGCGTGCCTGAGGTAATGACGTTGCGGTACAAGCATGTTATGAAAACCGATTTCGTTGCAATTATGTCTGCAGTGCACCATATCTTGAGGCGACAACGGGTGATTGATGAGACCGGCTCGCGCAGCCTGGTGTCAGTCTGCGTTCAGTGCAATTCTGTCGCCATCCCCTGGTGCTGACGGAACGAACCGATACAAGGGCTGCTACAGAATTGTCTATTAACCTTTAATTTCCGGCATTCGTGTCGACTATTGGTATCGTAGATCGTGCTGGATCCTTTCAATTCAACAGGCTTGCAATTCATACGGCTATCGCATGACTGTGTTCGAAGCTCTTCGGCTGTTTTTTATTATGTCCTGGCACTCAGCGCCGTTCAATACATTCATAAACTGCACGGATACAACATAGCTCAGGCCGGTCGCGCAAAGCTCGGCTGCTGGGCTGACCTGCACTGCGCCTACCCCGTGCAGGGTTTGGCCTGCTCGAGTCCGGCTGCGTCTCGCTCAAGAACGAGGTGAACATCATGGTGAAGAATGCGGTGGACGTGATCCTGGGCGGCCTCTCCTACTGGGTGTTCGGCTACGGGCTCAGCTTCGGCACCGCCTACTCCAACATCTTCTTCGCCGCCGGCGACTTCGCCGTCTCAGCTCCGGAACAAGTTAGTAGTGTTATTTATTCTTTCTGTCGCTGCTTCGGATTTTAGTGGACTTCTCAAATGTTACACACACTCAACGAGCATCCACGGCATACATCCCCTAATTCTTCCAGTTCATTGTGTGCATTCGTCTGCTATCCAGTGGCGGCGGAACACCTTCAATTGGGGGGGGGGGGGGCACTGCAGACTTTTGGTCCCATTCTTCCCATGCAACGCCCATGGGGCTAATGTTAAAGGGACTATCCCACCTTTAACATGGGGTTTGAGTTGAGATAGCCAAGTTTGCGGCGAGGTTCAGAAACCACTATCTATCTAGGTTGCAACCCCCGCGGCCTCTTGGTGTTGAAGAAATTCGTTCCCTTCATTTGAAAATGGGCCTTGTACAAGGCCCTATCTTCAACATGGAGCGACCGTTAGTGTGACGTCACCTCGTTAAGTCAATCTGATTTAAATGGGTTTGTTCGTTGAAAAATCGCTTAAAACTTGGTCTGAACTTTGTTGTGGTGCCTACAGAGTAAAAAGAATCAGCTTTATGACAGTAATGTGGCCTGGGGAAGGAGGTAATTTTGGGCTGTGACGTCACATATTTGAAAGTTTGTGTTTGGAATATGGGAAGCCTAAGATGTTTAATGAAAAATAAATGCCAGAACCGTGTTCCTGGTCATCCAATCTATAAAGTCGGGCACAATTTAACTGGTTTTAACAACATTTTAGAAGGTGGGATAGTCCCTTTAAAATGTCGAAATCAAAGGGGGCACGGTGCCCCGGCGCCCTCTCCGTTCCGCCGCCTATGCTGCTATCAATCGAATATCCACAAGCTTTTTAGCTTACAAGCCACAAAGCATTTGCTGACCTCATCTGAGGTTTGTGGAATATTGTTAGCAATAGCTTTGTCAACCTTTTACCTCATGTCCTATGTTGCAGGACATGGGACCACTGTTCGCGACATACATTTTCCAACTGTCTTTTGCTACGACAGCGACGACCATCGTTTCCGGTGCCATCGCGGAGAGGTTCGTGCCTAAATCACAAAATACAGCGATGTCCATCCCCGCACTATTTGTAACTCAGTCACGGTACGCTTAACTTTTACCGTGTAAAGTCTGAATTATTTAACCAGTACCTATAACGCCTTTTGGGGCGACTAACGGAGCGAGCGAGAGGGTGAGCCTTGCACGTACGAAATTGCGAGGGGGTACCTCCAACTGACTTGTGCACGGCACCCTTCTAACCGGTCTCTAGCGATGTGCCAAATTTGGGCACAATCGGCCCAGCCGTTCTCGAGATCTGGAAGCGGCACCCTGCACGTGCGCACGTGCAAAATGGGTCCCAACTGACTTGTGCACGGCACCCTACTAACCGGTCCCTAACTGTGTACCAAATTTGAGCGCAATCGGTCGAGCCGTTCTCGAGATCTGGAAACGACCCCTGCACGTGCGCACGTGCAGCAGCGCCCCAACTCTGACACATGGATATGCAGTGCCTAGTGGGTGCCTACCTACATGCCAACTTTCAGCGCAATCGGCCAAGTAGTTACCGAGATATTGCAACAATTACAAAACGGACACCTCTTCGTTTTGCACGTGGCACGTGCATAAGGGGTCACCCACATGCATCAGGAATAGTCCAATACTTGGTAGAAGGAATGAAGCTACCCTACAAAAATTACCGCGTGTAAATCGGTCAAGTGGTTGCTGAGATATAAGCCTCGCAAAAGCGTGACCACGGCCGGCCGGCCCCGGCCGGCCGCTCATACTCAGAAATTTCCGAATCTAAGGAAAGACTACGCTCGCTTCGCTCGCTCCGTAATCAGCCTGAATAACAAAAGTTGATTTTCATGTTATATCAATATAACCATTGAATTAACATTGTCTTTGACGGACATCAGACTACTGTGCTTACTGCTAAGTGCTAACCCTCACCTAAAACGGGTTTTGATATCTTTACTGCTGTTAACCCTATCTAAAAACAGCTGATATTGATGGTTTCTGATGTAAAACTCGTACAACGGTTTTTGATATTTCTAATGCTGTTAACCCTCTCTGAGAAACAGCAGATACTGACGGTTTCTTCTGTAAAACTCGAGCAAAAAAAAAAGAGACCTTAGTTTCAAGACCTTATTTTCTCGTCTGTCCGGCATGTGAAAGAGAACTGTGTGGATGGTTTAGGGGAAGCCGGGGGAAGCCCGGCATAGTAAGCTCTTTTTCATTTTTATTACATACCATACGTGCTGTATAAAATGTTGATATCCTGTTAGCTAGCTAAGTTCATTGGCCGTGTTTTCCCAAAAATTCGGTTTCGTGGAATAAGTATAAGGTTGAGAAAATCGAGTTTTAAAAAAGTGTTGATTTTTCTGGGGTAAGCCCGGCATAGGGGTAACGCCGGCCACCTCCTCAGCGCCTTACAACGAGTTGATGAAACCATTATGTGTCTTCCAAATATTAACGGAAAGTGAAATATTAAGGTACTGATTAGCTCTGGACATCTTAGAGTTTATGTCACTACTGTTATTTTAGCTAGCGTCTACCACATTATACAGTACAGGTCGATGAAAATCGTGATGCAAAATTGACAAAAAATGTGTATTTCAAAGTTCATTAAAATTTGTTTTTCTTTTAACCTTAATGCATCATATTGCATATCATTCGACTCGGCTGATGAAGAAGAACACAACGACACCATTTTTGAAGCTCTAGCTTCATTGTCTGTCGTGTTATCTGCAAAAACGTAGTTTGACCCTAGTTGACCTTAAGTGACATGACTGGCTTTGTCTATGATAACATGTTTATTTTCGAAATTTTTCTTTGATCTAGGTGTAAACCAAACCTGCTCAGTACCTATTATCTCATGGAAAACAGTGGTTTAGTGGCATTGCTCTCGGTTGGGGGTAAGCTTGGCCACTCGCCCGGGGTTACCCCAATGTGCTAATTTTTATTTTAGAACAGCGATATTCGAAAAAAAATGTCATACTTAAGCCAGCCTGCCTCGTCACCCCTCACTACAAACACTTAAACGGTCCTTACATAACATTCGTATAAATATTAGTACTGTATGGTATAGCATTAACAGTGCAACATATCTCACTTTTTAGCTAAAAACCCTTAAAATATCATTTTTGCGCTATAACTTTAACATTATGCAATTTTTGTTAGCCTTAACTTGTTTGCTGGCGTTACCATAGCTGCCACGCTGAAAGGACAAACAGTTGAGCATTTTATTGTCAATAATTTAGCCGGAAACGGGGTGGCCGGGCTTCCCCCGCGCCCGGGCTTCCCCCGGCTTCCCTTATTTTTAGCGAACGGTTTGGTACAGTGCACCAATCCCTGTCAACAGGTAGTGAGCTGTGTGGCCTACGGCTATCACATTACATTTTGGCGTCTAGTATTGACAGAGCACGCATATTTTAGCAAAAGTGCTCCCAATTCTTACTACATGGCAGAGTCGTTAGTTGTGACAAGTGTTGGCAATTCAGAAAAGTGAGCACTTTAGGTCGGGAAACAAGCGATTCTAATGTGATAAGTGTGTAGGGACATTGAGACGCATTTTATTTCGTTATTGGACAGGGTCAGGAGTGGTAGCGGCATTCGGTGCGCCTCAGAATATTCTGTGATTAAATTCGCCGTGGTTATTTCTGAAGGTTAAACACAGTTACTTAAGTATCACGCATGCACAATCGGAAGAAAAGTAGAGTACGTAAGCCTAAAATCCATACCTACACGAAACATTCTCATCGGGCCCACACATAAAAACCCGTAAAAGTCTCAAAAGGAAGATATTTACATTAGTATGTGTGTTTCAAAGTCCGCTTATTTACACATGCTTCAATTACTTATGTAGTTTCTCTGGAAATGGCATTTATGCGTTAAAAAAAATACATAGGTGTAGATATATATGACGGTACTGTGTCTTGTTGAGTTCAAAGATAATTATAGTGGCGTATATTATAAGATTATATAGTTTATACAAAGATTATATAGTGCTACAGCTGTTACTCCGAATTATAATTTTTAAAAGGACATCTTAACACCATCTACTAAATAACTAGTAAATATGGTGGAATATGAATAGAAGATTAAACGAATACTTACGAATGTTATAACGAATGCTATACCACTCGGCTGCTTCGCAGCTGGAGCACTTTTCACGTGTCTTACGCTAGGGTAAACACCGTCAAAAAGAGCCTGTTCAATCGCATACCAATGCTCAGCAATATGTTTCTGGACGCAAACCGTGACGTCGATGTGTGGCAACATAGCCAGCTACAGTATAAGAAACGAGTAGCAGCGTATGTCCGCTCGAGGCAGCCATGTGCACCTTAGATAGAACGGGGAGATGTGAACTGTAGCATTTCCTCATACTTCTAACGAATCTAGGTCTGCTTGATATGTTCCATCCGTGTATGTGTGTGTATGCGTGCATGTATGTGTGTAATATGTAGGTATATTGGACTACGACCATCAATGGGTGCCCATGCCCGTGGATGTTAAAAAAAAAAAACAATAGTAACGAATGTCATTAGCCGTTTTCACGACGGCCATCTGGTACACATTTGGTGCACATCTGGAACAGACTAGGTGCAGAGTTGGTCAAATCAGGTTCAGTGTGTCTCTTAGCAGCTATCAGCTAGGGTTGCACTAATTGATTGCTTATATGCCTGCCTTGTCATATTATCAGAGAGCATCATCGATTAAAACACTGAAAAAAAAATCATAAAATGAAGATATTTGCTGTAAAAGAAATTTGGTGCAGACTATTTGGTCAAATCAGGTACATTCGCCGGATAGCCCGTCGTAAAAACGGCTAATATCTCTGAATATTATAATATCTCTGAATATGTTAGGCGTTATAGTTGCCTAACCGTACATACCTATAACGGCTGCGGCAGGTTCAATTTCATGGCCTACTGCATGTTCTCGTTCATCAACACGGTGGTGTACTGCATCCCGGCCGGCTGGCTGTGGGGAGAGCACGGCTTCCTCTACAAGATGGGCGCCATCGACATCGCCGGCTCGGCCGGGGTGCACCTGGTGGGCGGTGTCTCAGGTGAGGGCCCGCTATCACAGACACAACGACCCGACGGATCCGAGATTAGGTTTTGGAGTGAGATCCGCGCCCCGAGAGGTGATACTGACGACATAAGATAATAAGCCGTTGTAGCTCAGTTGGTAGAGCGTTGGACTCCCGGTGGTGAGAGCCCGGGTTCGAGTCGTTCCGGCGCTCGGTATTTGAGACTCCTGACGGGGATAGTCTGCGGTTGGTGGGAGCAGCTGCAGCCAGTTGAAGTCAGTTGAGTGGGACAGGCCGTGTCCGGCTTTGAAGGGCACGCTAAACTTTGGCATCTATAAATTCTCCCGTTACCCGATTGCGCGATCGGACGGAAGGGGTCGGGGTCTACGCAACAATCTCTGCTTAGCGTGGGTTCCGGCTCTGTCAATCCGTCAATTCAAACATTCGAGCTAAATTTATTTATGACAAAAAGATTGAAATAATGATGGAAAAGGATCCAAAAAGCTTTTATGATGTTTGGAATGATAGACATTTTTCGATGATACTACTTGTTGATAATAGTTCTTGAATCCTGATGATGAAATGTTGCACGCTTGTTTTTATGATGTTCATGTATGCAAATGCGGTTCGCATGCACCAGTTACAATAGTATTTAGCAGAAGCAAGAGCAGAAGCACCATATGTATGACAAACATGTGACACTGCTGTAATTCACACATCTACCTCTTCCAGCTATGTATGACTGGCAGGGTTGTGCTCGACTAAAAAAAATTTGCCGACTCGACTCATCATTCAACTTCAGAAAGCCCTGACTCAACTCTGACTCAAACAAGGAGCTGATTTTTTCCCTTGACTCGACTCATGACTCAAGCGGCTCAATGAAAATATGAGTAGACTCAAACTTGACTCAAATTTTTTGAGTCAAGTGAGTTGACTCAAAATTGACTCAGATAAAAAAGTTGTTGAGCGGGGGCAGGGGTGAAAAAAATCCGGCAGCAGGGCCAGGGCTAAGTTTATGCGGGGGCGGGGAATGAAAAGCTTGTTTCTAGAAAGTTGAGTCAGCTGACTCATGTTCCTAAATGTTTGACTCAACTCTATGTCAAAAGTTATTTTACTGACTCAACTCTGACTCAACTCAACGCATTTATATTTTTGTCCGACTCGATTCTGACTCAACTCAACAGCTCAACATTTTATCGGACTCGACTCAAATCTGACTCATTTGAGTCAGAGTTGAGTCAAATTTCTGACTCGACTCATGAGTCAAGCACAACCCTGATGACTGGTATATGACGACTTTTCCAGTTTCCCTGAGACGTGACGCTTCCAATTCCTGGGTGATGCCATCCCCAGTTCCTGTTGTCAGTTTCTGCAGTTACCGCTACGTCGGCGCCAATAGTTCCTGTTATGCCGACGCTCCCCGTCTCCGCGAACTGTCGCATCCAGTCTGTATTACGTCACCCCAGTGCCCTTGTGTGACCCTGTGTGACCCTGTGTGACCCGGCCCCGACTCCTCCCGCAGGTCTAGTGGCGTGCATCATGGTGGGTCCGCGGCTGGGCCGATACGACCATGGGCACGAGCCGTTCCCTATGGGCAGCCCCACCAACGCCATGCTCGGCATGTTCATGCTCTGGTGGGGCTGGCTGGGCTTCAACTGCGGCAGGTAACGGACTCGCTGGGGCTGGCCGGTGGGAGCCGCCGCCCGTCTGCCGGGGGCGGCACTGCAGCTCCATTTAGCGCTCCCCTCCAGCTGTCACACAAAGCCGCTAAGCAAACAGCGCTGCATTCGCCGCATTGCCGCGGCCACATGCTGACCAGAATCTGTTAAGCTTTAATGACGTCGCGAAAGTAATTTCACGCCTCGCCACGGCCGAATTTCCCTGGACCAGGCCGGTTAAATATTTGCCCGTTTCTCGCAAGTCGGTAGTGCAAGCCTTACGGAGGCAGTCTTAAAGAGAATATTGTTTAGTAGACTGGTTATAATGCTGTTGCATAACTTTGACGTTATTCTAGGAGCGCCGTGTAGTCATTGAACTTAGGTTTTGTCTTGATGGGCTTTCTTGTATGCCCATGTGTTGTCCGTCTGACTGACATCTGTCTTGCTGGACGTTCCATGTGCCTCTGTCCGTCTGTTTTTCTGTTCGTTTATTCGTCAGTCTGTCTGTCTGTCTGTCCTTTTGGGACTGTCCGTGTGTCCGTCTGTCCTGCTCACCGTCTGTCTTTATATCTGTTCTGCTATCTCATTTCCCGTCCTTCGTCAGCACGTTCGGCGTGCGCGGCCACAAGTGGAAGTACGCCGCCCGCTCGGCCGTCACCACCATCAACGCTTCACTGGGCGGCGGTCTGTTTGGCTGTGCCTTCAGCCTCATCACCACCAAGAAGCTGATGATCGGCGACCTCATCAACAGCGTGCTCGGAGGCCTGGTGGCCGTCACAGGTCAGTTGAACGCGCAGATGAACTAAATTTGTAGGTTTTCTGTTACAGATGAATCGAGTATATGTAAGTTGGATCCTGAAATTAGTGCCAGAAGTGTCCTGTTGAACTATGATGATCATTTTAGCAGCCACATTTCCCCCTGTTCGCTCTCACACCGCCCTCGGTCCCCGTCCGGCAGCGGGCTGCGCGCTGTACCACACCTGGGAGGCGGTGGTGGTCGGCATCGTGGGCGGCATGCTGGCCGTCGTCACCATGCCGCTGGTGGACCGCCTGAAGATCGACGACCCGGTGGGCGCCGTCTCGGTGCACGGCGTCGGCGGCCTCTGGGGCGTGCTCGCCATCGGCCTGTTCGTCGACGCCGACAGCCTCGAGAAGATCACCAACGGACGCGCCGGACTCTTCAAAGGTGCGGGCGACGCGGACGGGATGGGGTGCGATAAGGAAACAACTCTGTAGAGTGTAGACTATATAATTAAGCTCCTGTGTCTAAATCATTCGTGTTGTCAAGCGAGTGGAATCGCACTTTCCAACGCTTTCCATATTCGTATTCAAGGCATACTTCCTATCAGCTCGCTGTTATGAAACCATTGGCTGACCCGGAAAAGTATGATAATGCGTAACGCCAGGACTGGGGGAGGAAAGAGAAGAAATGATGCCAACCTCCAGGCGAGTGGTTCTCGTGTTGGCCTACCGTCCTTCCTCTGCAGTTAAGATTCTTTTATCAAATAGAAGTCCATGAGACGTGTGTTTCAATTGCCAAAAGTCTCCCTCTCTCTGATCTCTCAGCCACTCAGCGTGCCGCTGCTGTTTGCAGGCGGCGGTTGGCACCTGCTCGGTGTCCAGACACTGTGCTGTGTCTGCATCATCATCTGGTCGGCGGTCGTCACGTTCATCCTGCTCTTCCTCATCAACAAGGTGAAGCCGATCCGGATGAGCGCGCACGAGGAGCTGCTGGGCGCCGACCTGGTGGAGCACGGTATCCGGCACCAGGGCCTGGGCCTGTCGCGCACCGTGTCGGCGCTGCGCCGCCACTCGCAGATCGACCCCAAGCTGGTCACCGAGCTGCCGCCAGAGGTCGGCTCTAACCTCGGTGGGTGCAACCGCAAAAATAACAGAGGCTGACCCGGATATATATCGATGGGTGACCCACGGATATACCGGTGGCTGATCGCAAGAGGCTTCCACAGACGACTAGCTGATTCCCAGACAAGTTAACCATTCTTTGATAACTTCTTAGGGCCTGGATCAAACAGTTGTCTAGAATCCCAAGCGAATGCGATTTAGATCCCTGGTGTTGAGCATGCTGGCGATATCCTGAGTGAAGCATTTCCACGACTGTCTTGTTCCGAATCCGAATATGGTGCAGTCGGTGATCCAGTTGATAATATAAATAATAAGGGGTAGACGTCTCCCTCTCCAGTGTCATCGCCATTTTTGATGCATTGCTCCCAGTAGCACGGTATCATAGTTCGGACACGCATTATCAGCGATGTCAGTCAGGCAGCAGCGATGTCTGAGTTTTCTATTGACCACGACGTACATACATGCTTACGCATACCGGTAAGATTCATGCTCATTCGAATATCGAATTGGACGAGCCTAATATGGCTTGGATACGGCTGACCATAAAATACTGCAGTCATCCAAGTGCCGACGTAACTGGCGAGTGATTTCTGTGATCGATGCGACCCGCCATACGAACGGTCCATTAGTATCACGTAACAGGAGCGTGGAGTCCTCTGGGCGATATTTTTACAAATCAATGTCGTTTGACCCTCATGGAATCGATACCGGTGATGAACGGCGGGACTCGTAGACGCCTTATTTCCCCGGGGTTTCACAGAGTTTATCGCCAGATCGACAGCGCGTCAGAGCTCATTGGGAATGCCGATAGCGTACTCCAAGAGCCCGTTAACCGTTTATGGAACGTCGTAAATGAGGAGATAAAGCATTTCACTAATGATCTAATCTACGCACTCATAACAATAAATCTTGCGAAAATATCTACCTAAATATATGCGTTGTGATGCCTGAATCTGCCAGCGTACGAAGGGTGTCGGGGCTATCGTTCCTGGCAGCACCCTGTTAGTTGTGTTCCGTGGTTTAGTTTCCATCGCCTGACCTGTGGCGGGTCACCGTGTGACAGGTCACATGTCAATGCTGAAGAAGCTGCGCCAGCGGCTGTCGCAGAGCCAGCGGTCGGTGGTTGAGGTGACGCCCATTACGCCGGCACCTCGCAGCGCGTACGGAGCTCGAGACAGCTCGGCAGGTGGGAGACCGAGCGTGAGAGACAGAGTTTTCAGTTTACATCACCCGAATATGAGTTATTTCTGATTATCCGCACGGCCGGCCGGCCGTGCGGACGCTTTTGCGAGGCTTATATCTCAGCAACCACTTGACCGATTTACACGCGGTAATTTTTGTAGGGTAGCTTCATTCCTTCTACCAAGTATTGGACTATTCCCGATGCATGTGGGTGACCCCTTATGCACGTGCCACGTGCAAAACGAAGAGGTGTCAGTTTTGTAATTGTTGCAATATCTCGGTAACAACTTGGCCGATTGCGCTGAAAGTTGGCATGTAGGTAGGCACTCATTAGGTACTGCATATCCATGTGCCAGAGTTGGGGTGCTGCTGCACGTGCCCACGTGCAGGGGTCGTTTTCAGATCTCGAGAACGGCTGGACCGATGGTGCTCAAATTTGGTACACGGTTAGGGACCAGTTAGTAGGGTGCCGTGCACAAGTCAGTTGGGACCCATTTTGCACGTGCGCAGTGCAGGGTGCCGCTCCCAGATCTCGAGAAGGGCTGGGCCGATTGTGCTCAAATTTGGCACATCGCTAGAGACCGGTTAGTAGGGTGCCGTGCACAAGTCAGTTGGAGGTACCCCCTCGCAATTCCGCACGTGCAAGGCCCACCCTCTCGCTCGCTCCGTTAGTCGCCCCAAAAGGCGTTATACTGGTCTTTTCCCTTCATCACTTCTTCACAATGAAAACTTCGGATTATTATCCGAATTTACGTATGTACGTCTGCTATTTCAAATGCGTGTTCTAAAAACGTAAAAACGCTTCCTGCTCTCACAGGTTTGCCAACGAAGGAGCTGATCAACGAAACATCGCCGAAAGCTTCGAAAGAGCGGCCTAAGAAGAGCAGCGCAGTCGCTTGGATCAACTTTGACGAACACTTGGATGGCATGCAACCATAGTTTTAAAGACCGGTGCAATCAAATGTGGAGTGTAATAAATGTGGTGATCCAACGCTTTTAACATGTCCATTGTCCGTGTGGTCTCTGTCAGCCTGACTCTCTGTCTCTCTCCCTGTCTCCTTGTCTGTCTTGTCTCCGTGTGTGTCTGTGTGTCTGTCTGTCTGTCTCTCTCTCTCTCTCCCTCTCTCTCTCTCTCTCTCTCTCTCTCTCTCTCTCTCTCTTCTCTCTCTCTCTCTCTCTCTCTCTCTTTTCCTCTCTCTCTCTCTCCTCTCTCTCTCTCTTTCTCTCTCTCTCTCTCTCTCTCTCTCTCTCTCTCTCTCTCTCTCTCTCTCTCTCTCTCTCTCTCTCTCTCTCTCTCTCTCTCTCTCTCTCTTTTCCATTCCCTGTAATATGTTTCATTTATAGGGACTGAGAATATATGAACCGTACACTAGTGCGCACAATGGCGAAACATTATGTAACGTAACAGGCGATCAACTTCGTTGGTGAATGACCTCAAGTTCAACAGCCCGTATCTCAAGCTAGACAATTGTTATCATTTATTGCCCGTTTGTCATCTGGTTGTGAATCAATGTCTGTTATGGCAAGTCGGATCCAGGTCTGTCTCAGAAGTCCAGAAGCATTGAGCTGGAGTTGCACCTATAGACTTAACGAGTCACCTTAGGTTTAGATGTTGCAAGATTATATTTGCATGTTAAGGTGCGTACTGCGTACCTATTACATGAGGTGCAATAGATAGGACTGAGTATGGATTGTATAATGTGCGCTGTGCAGGTGTGGTATGCAGGCTGTTTACTGCATTTCCTTCATTGTACATACCGTCACACCATATTGCTGTCAGTGTGTACTCAGTGTCGTCAACCCGTCATTGGACAAATGATGAAGGTGACGACAACACGATACACACTGTCGACATATCGGCCACTATTTTTTTTCAGTGAAGATCTTTCAATAATTTATTGGTTTTGATATGATAAGCTGCATTCAAGGAGTTGGCTAACAAGTGACATGTCGTATGATATTTGCTTTATTTTGATTTTCGATAAATAAAGCCATTAAGTACCTACCTAACCCCAGTTTGAATATCGTGTCCAATTTACTAGCGGTCTGTTATGCTGGACAATGAAACTCCCAGTCCTACCACTTACATAGCTACATTTTATTTTTTATTATTCATTATTTTTAAGGATGTACTTATGATGTGGGTATCTTGGCCTCTGGCCTCTGGGTGACCGCCACGTTACGTGATAGGCATGTCAAATCTCCATTGCACAATGAACAATATAAGTTTTGTCTAATTTGTTTCACTACAATAAAATAACTCGGCAGTTTCTGGACCGATTGGGCTGAAATATGTAGTGCTCTCGACGGCCACTCACCCAGTGACTCAATGACATGGGCCGCAGTTAGGTTCCACTGCACGTGCGTATACTTGCGCGGACTGTTTGCTTGTGCATGACAACAACCAACAGCTCTTTGGTAAGGTTGTGCAAATTGTAGGTACTGCAGCTGTGTCCTTGCTATTCTTTCTGTAATTTAATTTAAGTTCGTCCCACATTATCCCGCGCCCCGTAGGTCTATTGGCGGACCCTATTACCCGTAGGGGGGGGGGGGGCGTTTTGGCCCCCCCTAAGATCTCGGAAATTTACCGGCCGATTTTCGAAATTCAAACGGCGTTCGATAGCCCCAGCGGGGAACTACCTTGTGACCAAATTTCATTGACCTAGGTCAAACCGATGACGTCACAGGTCTGGTCAAAGGTCGGATTTTCACCGTCCACAGGCATTTCAAGGAATGTGTTGTGACATCGAGTAAATTGGTAAGTTATTGAAAACAATCGATGGTACATTGTTCGCCAAAAACACATACTTTGCTAGCTGAGGTCACTGAAGTGATATCAGGTCAGGTCACAGAGATCAGGTCACTGGGATTCACAATAAGAAAGTATCGTGTGATGCATGTTTTATGGTCCATTTTACATGACAAATGCGATTATGTGGGTCAGACAACCTTTGGGGCCAGTTTGGGTTACGCTCTGGTGAAGGTCAGCTCAAGGTCAGGTCAAATTAGGTCAAATAAAGTTGATATTTTTGTATAAATGGGTATCGATTCGATGCAGCTCGTCACGGGGAGTCTAATGGTGTTCTTTGTTTTGCCCTACGTGGCCTAGAAGTGCCAAAAATTGAGTTTGAAAATTTGACGTCATCATTTTCCAACAGTTTTTTTTCGCTATAACTTGGCCAAAAAAAAAAGATATCGATCTGAAATTTGGTAGGGTAGTGTGGGGTAATTTGAACATATTTTTACGTCTTCTCCGTTGTACCAAATTCCAGCTCAACCCTGGATGAAGAAAAACTGTTTCAGTAGCGCATGTGTCACTTGCTTTCACCATGCAAGCCTCATTTTTGGACGAGCTGAGCATACCTTGAATAGCATAGCATCACTTCTCCACCAAGTCACGGTGTGTTCAAATTACCCCACCGTGGGGTAATTTGAACATACTGCCTTTACCTGCCATAATAACGATAGTCTCGCCAGCACCGATGTTGTTTGACCCATAAACGAATAGGCAGAGCAATTCTAAACATACCATCATTTGAAAAATCAACAACAACAAAAATAAGAGTTGCAGAGCATAAATATCTGCACGCTGCACACCGGTCAGTTGACAGAATTCGCCTCTCTTCAATTAACAGAAAGCCTATCATCTCCGTTCGATAAAAACTCTACCAAACCTTACTACATCGGTTATAGTGGTGCCAATCGGAGCCTGGACATTCGGAGTTTCGATTCTTTATAATGTCCAATTCGGAATTGATTGCACAAAGGTATAGTTTTCTGGACAACGTTGGACGATGGCCTGCCACATTTAAGCATTTTTATCAAGTAATCGTGCGTAGCATTGATTGGCGAATGGAAAGCTTGTTAAGCTCTCAATATAATGAACACTTTTCGGCTGGTAAAATTACGTGATAAGCAATATAAACGGACGCCATTTAATTGCGTCCCAGAAAAGCTATTTCTGGCACCTAAAAGCTGACTCGCCCCAAAATTGGTCCTCAGCACCTATTTGGTGGATACCAGCACCAATCATAGAAAATGACCTTAATTAGCTGTTTCTGGCACCTATTCATCGGTACGCCTTACTCTTTTTTCTGAATCTGGCACCTAAATGCTGAGCGTAGCACCAATCTAGTAGAAAAATGAACTACTGGCTGGTAGAATCATGTTGTTCTGGTATAATGACCCCTGGAGTCTAGCCTAAAGGTTGTCAGTGCAGCTACACTCTAAGACAGCCCCGTAGTGATCTCAGCATTGTATATGACGTTTAAGTAAGCAAATAATATTAATTTGTTTGAAAAAACAATGTCATTTAAATATTTAAAAGTATTTATTCGTAATGCTTAAAGGGAAACATTTTTGTGAGTAATTGTCTCGATTTTGACCATTAAAACGGGTATTGTATTTTTTGACGTCATCAAATAGCTCCAAAAAAGAAATGTAATGTTTTCATTCCGTTCAAGGCCGCTGAAGAAACGCGGGATCTTGCGTGGGACATTGTCCGTTGTTTGCCGCGCAGAGTTGTGCCGTGGTTGTGCCTTTTTCATCCGTTTCTTACGTATGGCATATGTGTGCATGAAGCTTTGATTTTGTTTTTGGTTATTGTGTGGCCGGTGAGTCAAACGCCCCTGTAGAAACCGCGGATGCTGCCTTTGATCGAGATGGAGTCAGACGATGATTGCAGAAAGCTAATAATATTGAAAAGAGGGCCGGTTGCGTGGCATGTCTGTTCAGAGTTGACATTTTGCTTTACTCCAGTTTATGACCTGAGAGCCTGGCTGGAAGTGACGGATCCAAACTTTTCACGTTAAAATGGCTGAGGGTGCAATAATCTCTTAGTCTCTACATAGCGGGCTGGTATAGGAGCGTCTTGCTACGCTGCACCATAGCTGGCTAGTGATTCTCTTTTGGCTAGAAATGGCATTAATCATTATCTCCACTGGCGAAAATGGCACTTGACATCACCGAATGCAACGTTCATGTTGTTAGGATACATAAAATCAGGAAGATTACGCGAATTAGGTAGGCAAACGTGGAATAAAATAGGTGCTGGATGTTTTGGTTTTGGTGCTGAATCAGCAAACAGCAAATACGGAGTTCAACTAGACGATCTGGCAACTTTAGGCTGTGTGGAAGCAATTAGGTGCCAGATTCAGATATTAGGGTCGAATAAGCATTTTGGGGCTGATCAGCAATTAGGTGCCAGAAACAGCTTTTTAGGGACCAGAAACAAATATTCCCCAATATAAACCAGTATAACGCCTTTTGGGGCGACTAACAGAGCGAGCGAGAGGGTGGGCCTTGCACGTGCGAAATTGCGAGGGGGTACCTCCAACTGACTTGTGCACGGCACCCTACTAACTGGTCTCTAGCGATGTGCCAAATTTGGGCACAATCGGCCCAGCCGTTCTCGAGATCTGGAAGCGGCACCCTGCACGTGCGCACGTGCAAGATGGGTCCCAACTGACTTGTGCACGGCACCCTACTAACCGGTCCCTAACCGTGTACCAAATTTGAGCGCAATCGGTCCAGCCGTTCCCGAGATCTAGAAACGACCCCTGCACGTGCGCACGTGCAGCAGCACCCCAACTCTGGCACATGTATATGCAGTGCCTAGTGGGTGCCTACCTACATGCCAACTTTCAGCGCAATCGGCCAAGTAGTTACCGAGATATTGCAACAATTACAAAAGTGACACCTCTTCGTTTTGCACGTGGCACGTGCATAAGGGGTCACCCACATGCATCGGGAATAGTCCAATACTTGGTAGAAGGAATGAAGCTACCCTACAAAAATTACCGCGTGTAAATCGGTCAAGTGGTTGCTGAGATATAAGCCTCGCAAAAGCGTGACCACGGGCCGGCCGGCCGCTCATACTCAGAAATTTCCGTTAATCTAAGGAAAGACTACGCTCGCTTCGCTCGCTCCGTAATGACGGTTTTGAGTGTTGATAGCCATGGGTGGAGAACCTGCCCCGGCCACCCCGGCCGTGGCCGGGGTAACTTTCAGCCGACCCCGGCGCGGCCGGGGTAACTTTTTCCACTTTTGTAAATCCTAAAAGCTGTCTCCATACGAAAAGAACTGCCATCTATAAAAGCGTCTCTCATTATTCTTATCTACCTTGAAAGGTTCTGGAAAATTTACTTTATTTTCATTTTTGGAGCTTCTAATGAAGTCTTTTCAACGCGGAGCCCGACATGTTTCATCAAACAGAAGTAAATCATATTTAAGGGCCGTTATTGTAAGATGGGACTGAAATAACATCACAAGACAGGACGAGGGTAATATCAGTGAGATAGAAGGACGAGCTGCTGGGGCTCAAGGCTCCCCCAACTTAACCCGCGCCAGGGTGGTGGCCCTATCGTAATACGTTGAGTCGAGAGGTGGGCTTTTCACGCTCCTTCTAACTCGGCTACTGGGCTACGAGGCGAGAAGCGGAACGACGTTTGAAAGAACGACTAACGTGACCAGAGAAATCTGGTCATGTTTTAGGCAAGCTCAATAATAAAATCACCATAGATCATCAAAAGCCAAATTTCTCTGATTTTAGCGTTCTCCGACAACTTTTCTCACAGTTCATGAACATAACGGAGCTTAAACACTGCAAACAAAACATTCGATTACTCGTTTAAGGATCGGTCGCGAATAATATTTCAGGTGCGAGCTCAAATCAATAAGAGGGTCAAAACGGTCAAATTTGACATTTTGTTTTGTGTGAGAAGGTTGCAACTTCCACGGAATAAGCTTTGCAAAGGGCATGCTGGCATTTTTAGCACGATCATCTAGCAAATTTGACCTGATGACCTGACTTAGCACTAGGTGACATGCTTCCGAAATTTTAAGGCGTGTTGCAAAATTGTTGTTACAATTACGAAATCTTCCGCACCTGCGTGCAGCAGTTTTCCCTAAAAACGTACAAACGGCAGACATCCATTATTATATGCCACAGAATAGGAGTTTGTTGATAACCGTTGACAAATATTTGAGCATCATCGTCTTTCTGACTCTCGGTCGCCGGCCGGGGTAACTTTTTCAAACGTTCTCCACCCGTGTTGATAGCTGCATAATTTTCGGACATATTTGGACAAATAGTTGACTTTAACATTTTTGGACGGAAAATCAACGAAAATGCCGGACATTAGACGGATATTAGACGTAAATTTTCTAAAACTGGCATCACTTATCTGCTACTGCTTTGGGTTGAAAATATTGGCAAAAGAAAACTGGGAGCGTTGTTTTTTCGGAGCTATCCCTGTCTTCATTGAAATTCTCACACTATGTTCAAATTACCCCACGCTAAAAGTGATTTTGCCATTTTTAAAAACAGGGTTCAAAAGCAAATTTCTTGGATAAAAGACACTGATTAGGTCATTGTACAACAAAAGCCGTTGCGTATTAGGCGCTAGCAATGCAAGATTTTGCGCTGCAATGAAGTTGCAATGACGTGTTGTTAGGCGTTTATCCTTGCGAAATTGATTTTTTACACTGTGCGTCAACATCTTCATTCCCTGAAACTTTAATCCCCGTTCATATGATAGCCCTTTTAGTGACGATACTTTCTCTCATTGGTCTTATTGTCATCCCACTTATGGATTTTCAGTAATTTTGTGTTATTCACACTATGTTCAAATTGCCCCACATGTTCAAATTACCCCACCGTACCCTACGTAGATAGAAGACGATAGGTACTATCATATATATTCCGGTTTTTCGAAACTCGAAAAACTGTTTGGATTTTTTGCTAATATATCCAAAAAATTACTTTTTTTGATTTTTGGGGGACAAAATTCAAAATTTTCAAAAATCCGAGATGGTAGTTTTGTAATCCTGTCAATTCTACACCTTTTGTGTCTTGATCATTTTTTCTGTATCGTCAAAGCTGTAGGCCTGACAGCTCTTCTCGCGAAGCTCTTTTTTTCGGTCGAAAATGGCAGAACATGACGTCATTCTGACGTCATTTGTGGCCAACCTATCATAGCCTATGGTCATTTTTTGGTCACAATGTGTAAAATTGATGCCCGGAGGAGTCCTGAAAGTTTGGTGGCGATATGTGCAGCCGTTTAGGAGATATCGAGGGAAAAGGACAGGGGGGCGTTTTGCCCCCCCCCCCCTACGGGGCGCGGGTTAAGCGATAACTTTAGCGCTAGGTAAGTATACATTTATGCACTCTAAAAGCATAAACACCGACTCGCTTTACGCTTCACGCTACCTCGCAGAGATGCGACCCGATAGTGACGAAAAGAGCCGGCGTGGGCAGTGGTGGATTACGTCACGCGTGCACATTTTGGGCCAAGAAGAGTTTTCGGGACGCCAAGCCAAGGCCCGTCGACACTTAAAATTGCATGCGTCCGTCGCTTGACGTAGGTACACAACTGATGACGTCCTATATTTGTGACGGAGGTAAAGCTCTGACGGTGCCGATAACGGTCTTATCGTTAGACTTGTGCCGACTTCATGTGACTAATGGAAAGTACACAGTACACACATACCCACTTCACGGCTACAACTATTATCAGGAAGGCGTCTCATCTCAGGGAACACTCTTGTCTGCTCCATGCTCTGCTGGACTCGCAATTATAAGCGATGAGAGTTCAGGGATGATCAGAGATATCAGGGACGAGAGTTCGTTCAAAGTTACGTGACTGACGAGGCATGCTTTTGATCATCTGTTAAATCATTACGTAGGTACCCGGAATGAATAAAGACGGGACTTGCGGAGGACGGAAGGCGGCCGCGAGGTTGTGTACGGAGAACCGATGAGAGTTCAGGAAAGAAGTCCTAGCTCATAGCTGCAGCGGCGGTGGGAGACGGACAAAGGGAGACGGGACGGGAAACATCGGGCACCATCCCGTGTGACAGGCCACCAAGCCACAGCGGCACGGTACGAGCCAGGCGCAATCGCTGAGTTGATTGTTTGAGCTCAGCGTTATAACGGCACTCATATCGTTCTGAAGGCCAACGGCCGAACTATTTTCCCGTGCACATACCATGGGAATATAAAATTACTCCGGTATTTACAAATCACTTCCTGAGGGCGCAGTGGAAACCATGGCATTGGAGGCGCGTGACGACTCAGGTGACATTCGTACTTTAGAAGCCCCTGTAACAGTGTTTACGGAATCGTCCATAGTGCTTTTGCGTTGCTCTTCTCCCAGCGAGAGGGAATATGTACCGTCATCTTTTGCTTTCAATGAGTCCCAATATCATTATGCGAGACAGTGGGAGTTCATTTTACGGAAAGTGGATTGGTAAACGCCGGTGGATACCAGAATTTCACATTTATGTTTAGCTAGCGGGCGCCAGAGGGTGGTCCGAGCGTAACACCCGCTGCAACATTGCAACATCGAGACGAGAGGGGGCGCTTCACGGCTTCACGCCCTCCGCCTCCTAGCTCGGCCCCTGGGTGACGTAGCGACAAACGGTGAGCGGCGTTCGAAAGATCATCATTAACGAAGAAAGTACTTGGCTTATTTAAGGTGAGCTCAAAAGTCAAGTTACTTGAGGTCACTGAGGGCAAATTTTCCTAACTGACGTTCTAAGAAAAAATCAGCAAGTAAGTAACTCATGAACTACAGAAGGCCGTGCCGGCGTTCTAAGCTTAAACAGTCTACACGAGTATCGAGGGCGGCGGCACTTCAGCGAACGGGCCCACTTGAGCGGATAGTGGGGACGGCGTCACATGCGAGCCACGATTGCGCACTGCGCACACACCGCCACTAGCCTCGCACCGCTGCGTGGGTGCCCCTCCCCCGATGCGCCGGCGGTACCGCCCGAGGAGGCGGGGGTGGGCGGTGACCCGGTCGGCCCGATAGCGGACGGAAGATAAAGGCGCGCTGCGGACGCCGGCCATCAGTCGCAGTGGTGACGAGGCAGTGCGCAGCCATGGCCGCCAAGGGAGCCGAGTACGACAACCCGATGCTGGAGGGCGGGATGGGCTCCTCGCAGGACTCGACCCGGCGGCCACAGCAGCAGCAGCAGCAGCAGCAGCAGCAGCAGCGCTACGATGTCGTGATCGGGGCAGAGAGCAGCGAGGCCTCGCTCGACTGTTTCTCAGTTCTGCTGATCGCGCTCTCCTATCTCCTCTTCATCATCACTTCACCCATCACCATCTGGACCTGCATCAAGATCGTCACCGAGTATGAGCGGGCAGTCATCTTCCGTCTGGGCCGGCTGCGCGGCGGCGGCGGCGCCGTCGGCCCCGGCTGGTTCTTCGTGCTGCCCTGCATCGACACCTACATGAAGGTGGACCTGCGCAGCGTCTCGTTTGACGTGCCGCCGCAGGAGATTCTCACCAAGGACTCGGTCACGGTCGCTGTCGACGCCGTCGTCTACTACCGCGTCTCGAGCCCGGCCGTGGCCGTCGCCAACGTCGAGGACTTCGCCCGCAACACGCGGCTGCTGGCCGCCACCACGCTGAGGAACGCTCTGGGCACGCGCACCCTGGCGGAGATCCTGTCTCAGCGCGAGGAGGTGTCCACCCACATGCAGGAGACCCTGGACGAGGCCACCGACCCGTGGGGCGTCAAGGTGGAGCGGGTCGAGATCAAGGACGTGCGCCTGCCGATGCAGCTGCAGCGCGCCATGGCTGCCGAGGCCGAGGCGGCCCGCGAGGCCAAGGCCAAGGTGATCGCCGCCGAGGGAGAGAACCGGGCGTCGCGCGCGCTGAAGGAGGCTGCAGACGTGATGGCCGACAGCCCGTGCGCGCTCCAGCTGCGCTACCTGCAGACGCTCAACACCATATCTGCCGAAAAGAACTCCACGATCGTGTTCCCGCTACCGATGGACATCATTGGGCCGATGCTGAACCGCTCCAGCTAGCTCCGAGAAGCGGATGGGGCGTCCAGAACACAGTTGACGGCTGGGTAGGAGCCGGGATGTCTGTCACTGTGCTTCCTCGCCACCACGGATCTGCCATGGCGCGGTTAGCTGCTGAAGCGTCTATCCAGACTCGGCGACACTGTGATGTTACTATGTGTGATAGAAACACTTGCATAATATCTCTCATTTCTCTGGCTCTTGAAGATGGTGCCAATCTCGATTACGCGAAACGCTTACATCAGTAACAATATGCTGTGTAGGTATTTCTACAATGTACATTGCACGGTCCAATATGTTAAATAACGTGATTTGATGTTGTTCAGCGAAGACACGTGGTCCTGTGTTGTTTTAAACAAATATAAGTCCACATCATTGACGAGCGTCTGTACCTATTTTTGTGCTGGTTCATCTTTGCCGGCCTGGTAGAGGAGAGTGGGAATCGGTAACGCCTACTGATGTTGCATTCCGTGCTAACGGTAAACCGTGGCTGGGATAGGCTACTGCACATCGATTTTCCATTTCGTGTTGAAATTTCAACATCAGGTCAGTAGCGGCGGAGCACCTTCAAAAGGGGAGGGGGGGGGGGGCACTGCCGACTTTTGGTCCCATTCTTTCCATGCAACGCCCGTAGGGCTAATGTTAAAATGCCAAAATCAAAGGGGGGCACGGTGCCCCGGTGCCCTCCCCGTTCCGCCGCCTATGCATCAGGTCATTATACATTTGGACAACTGGCCAAATTAACTAGTTTTGCATCCACAAATGGCGGCGGTTTTAGTTATCCTACGACTGAGAACATCGCAAAAAAATATTTCAAACTTTGTACCTTCATGCGTAGCTTGTACGAAGTCGTCACTGCAACCTACCCGCATGCCTCGGGTCTGGTTGTTTCTGTGTGACCTAAATAGGTTCGAGTTTCAAACTTTGATTGTTCTGCTTACAAACCAGGTTATAGAGCGCAATCTATCCTCGAGTTCCTTATGTAACAAGAACCGCGGCAGTACCGGTGACCTCGTGAAATGGAAGAGTCATCGGGTGCTTTTGAGGGTACGCCACCTACACGTTCTGGCACCTGAAGGCGCCACAGCGACATCTGTATGTCTGCCCACGGCAGGATCCACACGGAGCACACAATGACAGGAGACTGGTGACTAGGAACTGCGGGGTGTTCTGTCCCGAGAGCAAGGGGATTGAAATTGTCCTCGTAATATCTTTCTCTCAGACAGCGAGAAGTTTGATGAGCACAGCAACTGACTTTCATATGATGTATAGCAAGTCATGTATTGTCGCCAGCGCCTTGACAGACTGAAAAAGCCTGTCAAGTCAGAAAAATGGCTTAAGACGACAATTCAAAGATAAACGGCGTTTAAGAACCACTGCTTGACATATGCGTACTTGTAGAATGCATCACCTGTAAATCATCGTACTCTCTACCTGACTCACAGTGCGGGCCACGGCCATACTTCAAGAAGCTACGAGGGATAAAGGCAGCGTATAACTTCATAAAACAAGAGAAACACGACCATTCCCGAAAACAGTACCGCATTCATTCCCCACATCCCTCAAAACGGAATCGCAATGACTCTTTGAGACCAAATACTGATTCTCATTTGTCAACTGGTGCGTCAGTGATAGCTGAGGACACTGGAAATCAGTACAACAAAATCACAGCTGAACGAACGCCTATTCTGCACATCTCACAACACCAGAAGCAAATATACCTGACCCTCATGGACACAGTCACATTAGCATTGCACATGTGGCGTTCAATGCCACTCCTAATTCCTGGAGCTTGCAAGCGTGATCGGACTAAAACCTGCGCTCAACCAAGCCACAGTAATCGACACTGACTAAATTGCCCAACCAATAACAGGGGTGTCTACAGGCTGAGATGACTTATGAGAGATCAGTCATGTTCACCACCTGCCCACCCTGATCAGTCGAACAGTCACCTTTCAGCCCTGGTCAGACGCCGCAGGGGCCACATCACCCTGAGTCGTCACACTAACCTCCGAAGGCGCGCGAGACGGCCACGGCCAGCGCGGCGCCACACACCACGCCGACGGTGGCCAGCGCGGCCGAGGCGTGCATGAGCCGCCGCTCGACGCGCCGCTCGTGTTCCATGAGCAGCAGCTGGACCGACTCGGAGTCGGCGCCGCCGGCGGCCGCCTGCTGCCAGCCGGCGGTCAGCTCGCGCCGCAGGCCGGCCTGCTGCTGCTCCAGCCGCTCCAGCTGGGCGGACACCTCGGCGGCGAACCGCTCGCCGAGCTGCAGCGGCAGCCTGCCGGCGCTGCCGTCCGCGCCGTGACTGATGGCCGACAGCGGCAGAGAGCTGAACAGCGCCTGGCGGGGAGGGACGGTCAGCGGGAGCCAGGGGCGGCGGGGAGGATAAAAAACTCTGAACCGCAGCGAGAACAGCTGATTCAGAACATCGAGAGAGTGACAGCCACATCAGGGCAATGACGACAAACAAATCAGACGTTTACGAATAACATGTTTGAGAATCACGTCATAAAATAATTGTAACGCTCTGAACAGGAAGCGCGTTCAGAACGAGCATCCTCAAAGTCTATTCCAATGTAATTCACGATCAGCCGCTTACCTCGATGGAATGCATCGCCTTTTTGACCTCGTTCTGCTGGTGTTCCACCGACGAGGTCAGCACAGCCACATCCTCCTGCAGTTTGACGGGCACCTCGGCCGACGAGGAAGCTATGCTGCGCAGTTCGCGCATGCGCAGCCAGTTGTTAATGGACGTGCCGACGATGCCGATAAAGGCGCCGATTGCCGATCCGATGATGGACCAGTATTTGGTTTTCTCGGCCTGCGCGCGCTCCTTCTCGTGGGAGGTGCGCACTGCGTTGGAGAGGGCCGAGAACAGCTCCTGTTCAGCCTTCTCCAGCAGCTTGTACTCGCTGCTCAGACGGCTCTCCTCGCGGAGAACCCGGTGCTCCTGCAATCAGAGTCACAAGTTGAGCGATCTAATATATACCACGGTTGCATATTTCACTCCTTTGAATTGTTTGCAGTTCATCATGAGACAATGTGATAAAGGAAATAATCCATAGGTAGTTTCTTAGCATCTGGTACTTAACTTCATATTGCACAAACTGAATGACAGTTGTTACAACAAACCTCAGTGACAAGGGCCAAATATCGATCCTCTCCTCTGCTTGTTTTAGCTATTTCAGCATGTAGATCTTTGAGTTTTGCTTGAATGTGATTCATGTGAATCTGGTGCTCTCTTCTCTGTGCCTGAGCCCTGAGAAACAGTTCTTCTGCCTGAAATATATAAAATGATTATGATATTATGCACAAAAAAGTGATTATCCTGAGTTAATTGAGCAAGCAGAGTTGCATATGAAACGTGATAAGGTGACAACCATCAACACATCAACTGGTTAACTCAAAATACATACTAACTCTACAAAAGTAAAGCCTTTCAGTCAGTGATATGCTTCTTTTACCTACAACATTATTTCTTTCAAATACACATTATAGTAAAAACTTTTGCTCAAGCTCTTCTTTTAAAGCTTTGGAATAATAGCACATACCTCAATGACTCTATTCTGAGCAGCAGTTACTTCTGCAATTCCAATGTACTGTTCGTATGACTTCATTAGTGACCCAAATTTGTCCTTGAGGCCTTCCACATGGACTGAGCTTGAGCTCAGCCTGGAATGTGCTTTGCATAACGTAACCCCCTTCTGAAGATTGCTGCACGTATATCTTGTGAGGGTGCTTGAAATCATCTTCAACTGAAAATATCTTCTTTGAAATTATGTTCAACTTCTTTCCATTCCACACAACTTAGTCTGAAAATGAGAATACAAGAACAATAGGAATGGCACCCCTTATTACAATGTCCAAAAGAACCTACCTGGTTAGTGAATAAAATGTGTATTGTGTAATGACATGTTGAACACTTATAACACCATATGGCCTCTATGACCTCCCATATGACCTCTATGACTGCTAAGTGACCTCTTTGATGACCCCAAGCTGACCTAAATAAGGTACATTTTTAATGTATTTAATTTTCCCTTTCATGCCAAATAGCTTTAATTACAAAATGGACCCAAGTAAAAACGATTACCTGAATATTTCAGCACATCTCATGTTCATTGCACAAGCACAACTCTAATGAAGACATCGACCTGAAAGGCTAATTTAATTTTGCTCGATTATTTCCTGTGGCAAGTTTTAACAACAGATAAAATTAAGGCTGTCACATTTCAATTTTCTTAAGTTTCAAAGAGGTTTCATGAACCAGAAAAAAAATAACCAATGCATTATGGAGAAGCATATGAGTAGGGCTGGCAGTTAATATTTTACATCAGTGGTTATTTGTGGCATGGTCATGAAATTCAGGGGTGACTTTTCACCTCAGGCAAAGGTCCCCAGCCAGCAATTTTGCTGTTGATAAAATTAGCCTTGGGTCTGTTCCCATAGGTAATCTTAAAAACATCAATTGATGCTCGGTGATCTTCAAGGAGAACTGTTTAAGAGCAGCCATGAAAACATTTCTGCGAAGAAATCAGCTGTTTGCCAGTTGTAACAGTTGATGATTCATGGTGCACCAATCATAATTTTGAGACAAGCTTAGCTTTAAAAAACCTTGCATACATGCTAGAAATAAATATTTTAAAATACTTCAATCTTCTCAATGGTTACAATTATTTACATGCTGCCCAACCCAATAGGTACTTATCAATAAACTCATAGGTTTACATGCACCAATAATGTCTACACCAGAGCTTCATCCAAAAATTAACTTTTATTCAGGAATTACGATGGGGGAGGTGAGAGGAAGAGATAAGTGATCGCAAGATGTGAAATCAGGATGAGCTTAGAGGAAGAGGAGTTTCGATGAGTGATTGGAACAATTTTTAAACAAGAGGTGGTTAGAAGAGATTAGAGGAGGTTGGAGTGGTTGAAGCAACAACTGAAACAGACCTTTTGACAATTAAAAACAAAGATATATTAGACAGCCCTGATAATGGTGTGGTGAGGTAAAAGATGGCAGATTTAAGCTCTGATGACAGGATCAGGATGAGGAGTGACTGTATGCATCTTATTTTTCTCTCGCCTGAAAATTAAATATTTTGCAGCACAATCACAGTGCCATAATAACATCAATAATGTAAATGTGTTGCCTTAGTCTTATATCTTTCCAGCACATCTTATCTGAATCAGAATAAGAATACTAGACCTTACAAGATCTTGCATCTTGGAATCTTTAATCAAAGCAAGCAACCACACCTGGCAAAATAAAATTCTTGCATTTCATGGAGAAAATATCTAAAACGCAAATAGCTGTTGTTGTTTTGGGTAAGGGCACGTACAGTACACCGTAAATTAGCGAATGATTAGAGCTCTAAAGCCTTGGAATAATGCATAATGCAAATGCAAAGGGTTGTTGTTGAAGAGTTAGGGCGCGCAGCAGCTTACAAACAAGGCCGTATCTTACAAATGCAAAGGGAAAATACGGAAAATGCACTGAGGAAAATGGCACGAAAATGGTACGTCTCAGGTGCGTCATTTTTGGCTAAAAATACCTCTGATCTCGGTGCTTTGTTTAAATCAATTTTGATGACGTTTTAACTAGGTAATTTGAAAATTTGTTACAAACAAAAGTAGTAATCAAAAATTCACTCCTGTATGCCTTGTGTATTTTTAAAGTATTGATTACAAAAGAATAAAACTAAAAAATTGAAAAAGTAAGCTAACAACATTACATTAAGTCGTAAGAAAATACCTTGTGAATGGAATCTTTCATGTAGTTCGTCTACCCTACTTTGCGTTTGGTACTGTTGTGTCATGTGTGGCCTTGGAAATTCGCAGTCGTCGCCGGGTCGTCGTAGTGGTTGATTGTGTTTGGTGTTGTGTGTGTGTGCGCGCAGGCCGCACTGGCGTTTCCTTTCCAAGCTAACCATTTGCCATAACAGTGTTTTACTTCGCTGGGACCGTTTTGTGCGTTACTCTTTTGATTTGCAATCACACATCTCATCCCTCTGAAGATGGATCCAGAGGCGTTCCTAGATCTTGCGAATCAAGTTACCAAGCTTAACCCGTTCCCGTATTTCGACATTGCACACTGTGCAATCACCTGCTTCTATGTCAGGGAAGACATTGGATCAGGTGAGTCGATTGACAGTCGATGCCACGTCAGGGCACGGTGTCAGGGCTGAGGGCAACTAGGTTTGGATCAGTCTTCAATCGCGGTCACGGTGGCCGCCGCCGGTCTGCCGGTTACAGCCTTTGAGTTGGGTTTTCCTCAGCCTCAGCCTGGGGTGCTGAGGATCAGGAACTAGGAAGCAAGCCAAGAGAAGACTAAAGGTACCACTGATGCATGCTTTCACAAATAGGGCTCTCGTCCGATTTGTGAATTCTCAATTCTGCTGATAGCTGAAGTTGTGAGGCTGAGCCCCTGACCTGACGCACTGAAAAAAAATTTTACTCAGGCCAGGCATTACTCAGTAATAACTCATGAAGAAACTCAGTGAATACGATAGTGGTGCTCACTTATTGGCTGGTCTAACTCACATCACCAGGGTGACTTCGTTATGCGTGAGTTCTGAGTGCTTAGTTTCGTGAATTCGAACTGAGTCGGAAATGAGTTTTGCTTGGGCAAATCTAGTTTCCTGCGCAATGCATGAGTTCTCGCGAATTCACGTGCAGTTGTGCGTGAGGTACCCCCGGCTTGAAGATGCGCGCATGCGCGGCAGGGTGAGTTTCCTGCGTGATGCGTGAGTTCGCGTGATGAGTATTATAGCCGTTGCGTTCGAAAACCGCGGCGCGCGCTTCAGTCCGTTGTGGCGCGGTGACTCGCGTAGTTCACGTTGAATTGTTGGGCTCTCTCTATCGTCTGGAGGTTTCGAAAGATGCTCTCCAGAGATGGCGCTAGTAAATTTGGCTGACATGACGTCATGCTAAAAAGTGATGGATTTTGTGAGAGCAAATGTAATAAAAGTTGAAAATTTTGTACTTTTGCTTAATTAAGAAAAAATAAATATACAATTGTTCAAAACAGCGTTTTCCTCATTCATCCTTCATTGTTTTAAGAGGAATATAGACAGTTTAAATATTTTTTCTTGACCGCAATTCGCACACGCACTAAATTAAAAGCTGGAGTTTTGTGCGTTCGTAAATTGTGATTTGAGAAAATAAGTTGACAATTATCTTTTGCACTTTTGCTTTACAATCATTTTTCAATGCAGATGAATGCATAAATTATTCAAAAATAGGCATATCTTTGAAATATTATGATTTTCCACAAGCAAATTTTCCCAAAAACTTGAACTACTTACAACTGACGAACGCATCCAATAATCTGGATGTCTTAGGATGAGTTCGTCATTTTTTCCCAAGGAAATACGATACAGTTCAAGCTATTTTACCGATTTATTAGGGTACTTTTGCCAATGAATTAATAAATAAATGACAACAATTAATCTCATTATCAACCATACTCGGAAGCATTTTTTTCGCATAAGCGCGAACACATCCGCGCTTTCATGAAAAGTCACGCCTGTAGATGTCAGGACTGCTGCTTTATGTTTCGCAAGGTGGCGCAGCGCGCAGGGTACCGACTACCGAGGCTGAGGTCTCCAGACTCTCCACCACGATTTAACTTGGAAATGGCCGATGGGGAAGGTCTCACCCAAAAACGGACGCCCTTTTACACAGCTGCATAAAGAGAATGAATTATTGGCATAGCTGACCACACGTCCCCTCCCCCTCTCCGCCCCAGCTCAATAGGAAATATCGCCTATTTTCCTTAGTCAGTTATATTCTGACTAATTTCTCACTCTTCCCAGTAAACCTTAACATGCATGATGCAGATGTCCACTGCGTAAGTCGTGTGCTTCCGTATGTGTGCCAACTATATAGTGTTGCCTACACTCTACAGTACAGCCTACTGCTTCCCCATTGTCGTTATAATTGGTGATTCTCAGGTCAAAAGTTACACAGTGGTCTCAGAGAACAATCGTTTCAACAAATTAACGATTCAAACCATTGCATTCTACTTATATTCCGGTCAGTTCTGCTACTAAACGATTCCGGCAAAACACTCTTTAGGTTATGTATTAGCGAACCACCACACAAAATTCGCCCAATCAATGGTCAGTTATTACTGCTGGGCTGAACCGTCATACGCTATATAGCCTATTGCAGTCAATATTTTCAGAACGATACTGACTGACGAAACACAACGTATTCGCGGATTCGCACATACGTTGGCACCCAGGTGGCCTGTCAGCAGCCGCACAAATCCGCACAGCGCAGCCGGGATTTGACATTGAGATGGTACACCGTAAAGCATGCCTTTCCACACAGGCACAAGCACAGGGACACAAATTCTCAAAATCCAAACTTATTCCAATACTGGTCAATTGCGAATAGGCATAAAGTTTTGAGGTTTTCTCATGTTCATTCTTCTTTCACTAACACACGCGGCAGACTGCAGCAGCTGCAGAACATCTCACAGAGCTGCGCTGGATGCAGTCATGAGCTGGGACACGGTTTGTGACCAATGACCGATCGGGGGTGCCAGCCTCCTCCCGGCACGCGATGCACTGGCCGCCGCGCAGTCGATGTCGGGGCACCGCCGGCATTCGCCGACAGGGTTCCATCCGATTCGGTGTATTGGTGGCAGCCCGAACAGTGACCCACGCGAAGCTGGCGGACGTCGATGGCCGATGAGCGATGCCCTTCCGCGACCGGCGGTGGCAGTCGGTCCCACATCAAGAACAGATACCAGTCATGCGGTCAGTCGGCGACGGCGCTGTCGCGAGCCGATCTGATGGTCGCGCGGTGGGCGTCGCCGACGTCCACCGGGACCGTCGACTGGGGGAGCGCGGCCGCCTCTTGGCCGCCGCCTCTGGTCGGCGAGCTCGTTGCGCTGTGGGACGGCATCCACTGCAAGTCGTTCACTGTGAAGCGGTCGTTTGACCGGACCTGGCAGGCGGGGAAAGGGGGCCTCAGATGAAGTAAAACCATCCCTCAGGCCAGCTTGAACTGGCTCTCCACCTCACCATGTTAGATAAGCGGACACCCTCGTGATCATCGCAGCGATGATTGCCAATTGGTGTGTCATTATGGGAGAGGATGCCAGCCTCCTTTGCAAGATAGTCTGCCTTTAATATAGTGCAGCCCGACCCATTGCCTGTGGCGCAGACTGGGCTTGATAATGCAGTGCAGGACACACCAAACGTAAGCGGCCATCTGTACCCCCTGTGCAGTAGGGCTGACTCAAGAGCCCAGAGTTGCCCTCCCCCCACCATTCTGTGCACGTGATAACTGGATGGGACATGCCATGGTCAGCATCTGTTCAAAAGCTGCCCTAAGCATGTAAAGCTCCACTGGCATGCTCAAGCATGGTCACAGTCAGTTCTCACTTCTCAGTTGAACCTCCAATGGAAACCTATCACAAAGTAGAGATCAGGGCGCCTCTCACACTGCAGCACACTCAACGACTGAGGCACCATCTCATTCTCATCACTTGCAGGTGGTTCTTGCCAGGAGCAATGCCAGCCACGCACATCAGGTGATAACAGCAGTGTACAACTGCAATCTACAAGCATCCATGTTCTTTCTGGTTTTCTCCTGTTGAGATCCACTGCCATGCATGAACTTGATGGGCTTTTGTTGAGCTCCTCCCATGTGCAGACAGGTTTCTGCTGAAACAAAGCAAAGCAAATGTGATTAATAATGGCCCTGTTTCACCATCCAGACACTGTGTGCACTGGTAGCTACGGCATACCATAGCATCACTCAAATGACGTTGCATGTGATCTCTTAGTTTATGATCAATCGCGTTTGGAACAGAGTGAGAGGTTCTGAAAAACCGTACCAAGAACAGAGGTTTGAGTTCAAATACTGCTAGCATGCTGCTGGTGCTGGTACCGCAGCGTGCTAGCGTTCTGGGATGCTGTCATAGCTTAGCGTCACAGTGAAGTTTGTTGACACTGCCATGGAAACCCAATGCTCTGACACACGCAGCGCACTGCAGTGCTGAGCACTGCAGTGCGTGCTCTGCCGTGAAACACCACCCATGAACGTTGGTTGCATGACCAGGATGGAGCAGTGTGGCAGACAGTGATTTTAATTTTAATTGCACTTCCTAGAGATTAAAATGTTGTTGGTGAAATTGCTATTCATTATTCCTATAACCATTGTCTAAATTTCACATTTCAAGACAGCATCAGCATTGACATGTTATATAAAATAAGGTTTAGACTTCAGGTGGTCCCGGGTTCAGCTTAAGTAAAACAAGGGCAAAAAATTGTCAAAAAAAATATTTAAAAAAAATACCTGCCTTCATCAACACCTCATCTAATCTAACCTCATCCTCATCTAACAAGGCCCTAAAAGCAAAAACCGTTTGAATAACAATGTAATATTTTGCAACCGCTGCACCATTACTGTCACGTACGCTATCCCTAGATTGGTTGCTGGTAAGTAGTGGTTGTCGTCATCAACTCGTCATGCAGCAGCTGATTGGGATGGGCGGGGCCTATTTTTATCCAGGCGATAGAGAGAGCCAATTGTTGAGGCTATTGTGAAATTGTGCGGGAGAGTGCAGGAGCGGGGAAGGCGTGCAGCGAAGGATGGGACGGGTAAGTTATCTGTGAAGAGCTCGGTGATTGTCGATGAAGCTTTTATCAATCGCATGCGCCGCGGAGAACAGGGAGGTGAACGGATGGACCAGCAGACATTCCCCGCCGGCGTCAGGAGGTCGGTGCCAACCGTGAACGGCGGAGCAGATCGATCGAGAAACTGAGGGATACCTACCCGGCATAGTTCGAAAAAGAAGAGGTGAGTTATGTTATATTTAAATTTAACCCTTGCATGTGTGCGGCGTTTTCCAGCTTCTAATGTGTAGGGGGGGGGGGGTCGGTTGGACCCCCCTTGCCGTTTGGCCCCTGATCGAGCTAGAGCTTCGCGGATAAAACGAGCGTGTTGCCCGTGACGAGAGGAAGCCGATGATACCCAATTTTAAGGTCCTAGGTCATTGGTTGACCTTCCAGGTCAGGTCAATGACCCAAAGTCGGGAAAATCGGGACCTATTAGAAAGTCGTAAAATGTGGCTGCTAAGGGGTTTTTCGGGATACTGATCACGAATATCGTGTTAGTTT